AATATGCCGTTTTCAGAAGTCTCATATCTTATCGGGAACCGAAGATCATGGTCTGCTAGCTTAATATACGTATTTAAAGGTTCCGTTGGCGGTTTGCGACAGTAATTATACTTTTATATTGGTCGATGTTGGTGCTTTTGGCAGTCAGAGCGATGGAGGTGTTTTTAGAAACTCAGAAGTGGGGAAAAACATTTTAAACAATGAGCTGAATATCCCGCCTTCAACAAATTTACCTTCTACACAATCAATGTTCCCATATTATTTGGTAGCTGACGCGGCGTTTCCGTTAAAACCAAATATTATGAAGCGTTGTGACCGAAATCGGGCAGCGGAAAAAGAAAAATATAACAAATTTATATCTCGGGCGCGTATAGCGATCGAAATCGCTTTTGGTTAAAAAAATTACTCAATTTAAATTCGTTCAACCTCCCAAGCCTCTAGATTATAATTTTTTTAGGTATACTAGCTGCAAATTGGAGAATTTTTCATAGGCCCATTCACTTTGCGCCACCTAGTGCTAATGTGTATGTAATCAACATTATATCTTTTTCTATAGGTTGTGCTAGCTACAATTGTACTCCACAATTTTTTACGCCTCCAAAATTGTTATCAGGAAAATGAAGACCAATCTACTATAAACTTGAGTAGTATCGACCGAACTAATTTGCAAACCGCTAACTCTTCAACACAAAAACCACTGCAAAACAGATTGGAACTATCAAATTACCTAAATACAAATTAACTGTTCAATCATTCAGTTGTTGTTAAAGTAAATTTGATTATTTTAGTTTAATTTTAGTTTACTTTTTATTTAACTAGCATACCCGGAGAACTTCGTCCCACCGAAAATTATTATTTTTTATTTAAACATTTTGGTCCAACATTTTCACCAACAATCCACGTTGACGATTTCCATTGGCACATTTATCGGCTAAGTTTATGGTTCGGTGGTCGTTTTCTGCCTTAAATAATCTAACGAAAGTGTTATGTCCATCAACAGCTTCCCTGGCGGCAACAATGATCCTGATCTATAATGAATCTGCACTAGAAACTTTATCTTATAGTTGGTGGCAATTTCAAAATGGATGCGTATCATTGTTAACAGAAATCCAAACCTTAAAAGCCAATTTCACGAAAGCCATTTAAGTGAAAAATTAGTTTTTTCTGTCAGGTTCCATACTAAATTCAAATAAAAAAATAAGTTTTCACTTAAATTGCTTTCATGAAACTCCATGGGAATGGGATTGATTTCATATATCTCCACACCAAGTTCGAGTACTCTACCATAAATTTCCAGAGATGTACTTGAAAGCATCTGTTTATGTATGTATTAACACACATGCATTTTCCAATGCAATTATCATACATTTTATTTTCGATAAAGTTGTGGGTTTTATTTTTAGGCATTCTTGTTTATTGCCATTGCAAAAGCTAAGTGAACTGGAAACTGAATTCTCTCAAATTCGAAGGGCATATCAGACGGAATTAAAAGGGTCATGTGACTTGTAGTTCCGAAGTTATGGCTGATGAAAAACTCCACGCTTATGTTATGTTACTATAAGCACCTATCACAGATATATCTGCACACAAAATTTCAAGTTCATGTGACTTATTGTTATATGATACAAAATTCCACGGCTTTGGGATGTGCCACACCCCCTTTTATAAACTTAATAAAAGGGAATACCATAGACATGTCTTCGGTCCAAATTTCAAGCTCTTTTGGCCTATGGTTCCAAAGTTATAGCTGATTAAAAATTTGCAGGCCAATGGGAGGTGCCTCGCCCTCTGGCAAAATTGACAACATATTTGCAAATAAAACCATACCGATAATCTCCCCGGGGTAAAAACAAATTAGTGTGCAAAGTTTTGTGCGAATCCGTCTCGTGGTTAAAAAGTTATAAAGGTAATATACAAACAGACATTCACATTTATACACTGAGGGAAAAAAATTTTAGAATTAAAAAAAAAACGTGCTAAATTTAGAAAAATACGCATATGAAAGAGCACCAACCCAACTCGTTTTATATTTGAGTATGTACGTTATAAAATATGTCGTTTCGAAGTGCACAGATGCTTTTTCGTTATACGAAATTAAAATTAAGAAGAAAAAAATTGAATTTTGTGTTCCGTCTGATGGTAATTAAACCCGGACGCTCTTGGTGGCAACCAATTGTATCAAGCGTCGTTGCACACTCAGCTACAGCCATACATGTAAATGTGTTTTCAAATGTTGAGTTTGAATCAACATCAAAGCGGGCGATTAGTGCATGATGTCGTACCATGAATGTACATATGTATGTATTAGGGATGCCAATACCGGGATCCCGGGATCCCGGAATCCCGGGATCCTGGTGTTTTTGACCTCCCGGAAATTTTGAAATATCGAATTGATAGTAAGAATTTGTTTATGAATTTTGAAGTATGATTTTTGTAAAATGCCGTTTTGACTGCAATTAACAAAAAGCTTGGAACTGTACTTTTTTGCAGTCTGAGCCTTTTTTGAAGAAGATTTCAATGATTTCACTCATAGCGTCGCTAATGTAAACGAAACAGAGTTTTAAGGAAAAGTTATATAATTTTTTAGATCAATCTACTCAAAACTTCCTCAAATCGGAAAACTTATAATTTGACCCAAAACTTCCTCAAATCGGAAAACTTATAATTTGACCGACGTGCTGGTAAAAGAAGTTCAAATATTTTGTAATGGAGGAGAAAGGGGTCATTATCTTGAAATGGATTATGTCTACCTTTTGACAGTTCAGCCTGAAATTGTTGATGCCGAAATATGTTTTTCATCAGTAGATTTTGTATGTAAAAACTGCAGGTCAAGCTTAGAAGACTCTGCTTTGAATGCTTTGCTGCTCTTGCGAAAACATTTTAAGTGCAATAATAACAACACCGGCATAAAAAGGGGTGTGTGTTTTTAACCAGACCCAACTACCAACATGTATTTCGACCCGCTGAATCCGATTCTGAGATCCGGTTGACTCGTATACCCTCAAAATTTCTAGTAAATTTCGAAAAAAATGGCAAAAAATTCTCCATTCGCCATTTCTTTATAGAGTAGAATAAACATGTTTAGAGAAATTGTTTTTGTATATTTTTGTACCTGGTACTTACATTTACATTTATTTACATTATTATTTGTGATGTATACGTTCCTCAATTACATGGTTTTTTAAATACAATTAAAAAAATGTTTTGCTTTAAAATTTGTCTGATTTAATAAATATCGCTGGCGTAGAGTGCAAAGTTGCTAAGTCCCTATTTAAAAATTGTACAGGAGAGGAAAAAACTTCGTATAGCCATTTTCTTCAAGTATTTCGCAAAACTTTGAATACAACATTTTGCCTGTTTAAAGCAAAGCAAAACTCCATACGAATCGAAAGGATTCGATATTTATTAAAAGATTTCGAACTTTTTTGGCCTTATCGAATTTTCGGAGCTTTTTTTGACCTTAGCAAATTTTCCTTTCATTGAATATAAACGAGAAAACATAAAACAAGGACCTTTACCCTTTTCGAAACGATGCAATTTTAATTTATCTAGCCTCCTATATCAAAATATGTTTTTTCATTAAAAGTGAAGTTAGAAACTTTTCACTCTAAGCTAGCGATATATGAGTTTTACAATCAGTTTATCGTAAATTTTAAATACATAGTTTTATTTAATGGTATGTTTAAACGCTTTCAGATATTGGTTTTTTACTCATATTCATAAAATTTATGACTCAATTTGAAATCCGGGATAAATCCCGGGATCCCCGGATTACCTAAAAAATATCCCGAAATCCCGGGATCCCAATTTTCCTGATATTTTGGCATCCCTAGTATGTATGTATGTGTTGTCACCGCTTTGCATGCTTTGTATACATATATGCTTTCGTGCAGTGAAAATGCTTCATTTTAATACGGGCGTATTTAATTTGAATATTTCCATTATACGTAGTGTATGTATAATGAAAAAATCCATTTTGTTAAGACTTTTCACTTGATTTAAAAACGAACATTTTTAAACGGTAATCAAATAAACTTTTTTTATTTTTACAACGCGTTTTTTTTTCTCAGTGTATATATTTATTTATTATTTATATATAGTATAGATATATAGTTTATAGTATAGATAAATAAATTTGCATTTCAGTTATAAACTAAAAATAAACTAAAAAATAAAAGTGTAAATTAAAACTGAAATGCAAATCTATCTTCTTATCTTATATATATAAAATAAGATAAGAAGATATATATATATCTGTGGTCATAAGCAATAATCGCCTAACAAGAGAAACCTGAATTCGAGAAAAAATTCTTTAAAGATTTGTATTGTAATGTTAACCTTATGGGGAAACAAAAATATTTTCATCTATAACTTTTTAAATAGCCTAGGTAGCGTGGGAGTTTCACATACACATGGAATAGTAGTTGCAGAAAACGATAGCATATATAACTCGATTCTTTCTTCAGTCGACTTAGGCGGTTATTGCTTATAATAATAATATTAAAAATCAAAATCCCAGTGTGGTAGTTTTTGCAAATTTTATATATAGAAATTAAATATAGCGACTTTTGAAACAGTAAGTTTTATATAGCCAGCTTTTTTAAGGTTTTCGCCTTCTCTCTTCCATGAAGGTTGGTCTGCTTCCTTTTTCTTCCACTAGGCACCGAAACTACCACGTTTTCTTGCAGTTTTCTAAGTTCATCAGAAGATGGAGACTTTTGAACCTGTATAAATACGTACAATAAATATTATAGCGACTTTTGAAAGAGTATATATACATACAGTAAGTATTATAGCCACTTTTGCTAGAGTAGCTAACATTTGATGCTATTTTTTTTCAGAATATATAAGGATTTTGCACTGTATTGTTAGTGGACATGAAACTACTTTAAATACTGGTACGTTAACCACCAAAAACTAAAAATCAAAAAAAATTTACATAGCGCACTATACAAGTGGACTACTCATATAAGATAAGATAAGAAGATAGATTTGCATTTCGGTTTTAATTTACACTTTTATTTTTTAGTTTATTTGCGACCAATTGTAGAATATCTACTTGCATCTCGTCCTTTTCTTCTGCAGAAAAACGAATGAATATACTGTGCAGTAAGGCGAAGAAAGATTCATCTTCCTGCCCACCTTCTACGCTGTCGTACTTGCGCTGCATTTTAACGAGTACGTCCTCAAACAAGTCATCATGTTTCTTCTTCTTCGCCGACGTTTCGCGCTGTGGTACTGGCTCCTCCCCGTCTTCCAAATGCTCCACGTTTGTACATGTACTGAAAATAAACACAAAATATTTGCATAAATAAACAATAAAAGTTATCTGAAATGTATGTTTATATAAGCCATTAGCGGTGGGTGGGGGTTATAGGTGCCACTTCCCCTCTCCCTCCGCTCCACACCACAAAGTCAATGTACATTAGGGATGTAAAAAAACATCGATGTATCGAGAACATCGATGGTCGTGACTTCAAACATCGACGTTTGTCGATGTTTTTACGAGTCCGATATTAAGTAAAAACATCGATGTTTTGGAAAACATCGAAGAGGTTTCTTTACTAATTTTTAACCATTTCATTTTGTACGCGGTTTAAAATTTTGAGCGGACGTTTGTTTCTTTAATAAATTCGTAAATTCCATTTAATAAATGTTCATATATCTATAAGTAAAAAATAGTTTAACTCGTATCGAATCGTCGACGAGGTCGTCATCGAATGAAAAGCGGGCGGACCGCAAAAACAACTCGTATGTAGCACTAACTAAAATTGTAATACATTTACATTAAAACTATACCTCGTTTCAAAATAAAAACCCACCACAAGTTTTAACAATAAATTTTTTTCATATTTAGTTTTAGATCTTTTTTTATTAAATTTTATTTCATTCTTTAACAAAAACAATATAAATCCAATTTAAAATTGTGTGCAATATTTAAAAAAAATTAGTAAGCTTTCCTTAAAACATCGGTAAAAACATCAATGTTTTAATTCGATACATCAAGCTACCATCGATGTAATTTTTCGAAACATCGATTCTTCAAACATCGATAGCCTCATTGTGATTTGCATTCCTAATGTACAAATAACTAAACATTTCCCGCCATTAGTTCCGATGCTGCTTACACATAATAGCAACATTACATGGTTGCCGTAACCGTTGCGCCGTGTGTAGGTAGCCAGGAGCTTATATCAGTAACAATAACTACATTAGTTGGGTTCCAGATGCTTCACGGTTTTCAGGTTTTACAGGATTTTCAGGAAAAGCTGTTTTCGCCATTAACAAACCTTATCGAAGGTGGCCACATGGAACAGCTTTCTGTAAGACCCTGCAAATCGTGAAGCATCTGGAACCCAACTATTTTTTGTACTCACTTTTCGGCTACCATGTGGTCTGTTATAAAACACATCGCACCTTTTAACTTCCACGGCTTTCTGTAGGAGCTGCCACTACCATACGGACCAGTGCTTTCCGCCAATTCGTTCCGATTCCGGTCACACAATGTTCGCCATCTGGTTTTGCAGTTGTAAGCTACAAAAGTTATAACTTATTGATTAATTACACATTCATATATAGCAAGAATAAAAGTTACTTACGCGTATTTTCCAGCACCACAGCTACAGCATCCCAAGCTTCGTCTTTAATTTTTTTTATTTTTATAGTCCTTGTGGCGTTTTGAATACAGGCACTCGTATTTTCGAACGGTCTCAATCAATTTTTCGTTGCAGATCTAAAAGAAATAAACGAAAAATGTATATAAAATAAATATACTTGGAAATTAAAACTTATCTCCATAGTCGCCCCCATGGTGAAATAAAAATAAGGTGACGTCAATTGGGGGGTGTTTGTTGTAATTGTAACAAGAACTACACTAGAGAAACTCCTTTTAGGAATTGTGCTGAAAACGTAAGAGTGAACATCACTGTCCTTGACATTTCTGTTTAGTTGTGACTTTTCCACTTAATATTTTTTGCAAAAATTGTGATTTGTGTGTATATTCAACAGCTTTTAATTTTGCGATTTTTTTGAGGTTTTCCGGACATTGGGTACAAATTTAGGTAACCAATTTTAAGTATAATTAAATAAATTAATAAGTGGCAAATAAAGACTAATTATGTTTACCTTCCACAGATTTGTGAATTGTTTTTTTTTTTATCTCAGCGAGAAGCTGCGGTATAAGTGCGACTTTTGGCTGCAAGTTCCAGGTGAGTTTATTCAATTGGCCAGGTTGTTAATAAAATGGGGCGTTAGAATGGTCCTAAAATGTTCCCCTTTTTTTACTACATTTATATGCATTGCCGAAATGGGGCTACCAAAAAAGTGAGGTTAGGTAACTGACATCACCTTGTTTATTCCTCCATGAGTCGCCCCAAAATGTAAATATCAAAATGTCAAATGAGCATAAACGTCAAATTGAAATGTCACGCAACACAAATCTTAGAATTTAAGTTAGATTTTTACGCACGCCGTTCAATTTCGGTTGGTCCCATAGAAGTTGAATAAGCATGAGAAATTTTTGACAGTAAACTGCCAACGCACAGTGGTTCGAATAGCAGATCTAGCTGGACGAAAGTCAAAATTTTTTTGTTTTTAAAATACTTAATGGTACTTGGAATACATTCCTTACAATACATTCAAATAGAAATTGCATTTATTAAAGCATTAACATATGAAAACAAACAAAAAAAGGTAAGTCAACGCCGCATATTTCAGAACTCTATTTTAAAAGCTGAAATTTAACTTAAAAGATTGCTAATTGCACTCACAGATATTTGCATAATTGCGAATTGACTTTATAAACAAAAAACTACACTTATTCCGCTATAGATTCAGAGGTCATATCGCAATTTATGTCCACATTGGTATAAGCAAATTTTAGGGGGTAGGGGTTGTGTGTTAAAACAGAAAAACACTTGGAGTTATAAAAACTTTGGTTATGTAAGAGTTAAAAAAAAAATAGTAACTCGCGAATTTTCTGCTTTCTTAAATTAAAAAATTATACAACAGGCATGTAAATCTTTAAGCGCTGCTATACAATTTTTTCTGAAATTTATTTGTGTTTCTTGCTGTGATCTTAAATTTTAGTCATGGTAAGTAAAATCTTAAGAAGTGAGTTGTTCTACGTTTGGAGAAGTGTTGCTGAAACTTCTAAAAGACAACAAGGTGTCCGTGATTGTGTGATTAGTAAATTGAAAGAAATATCTGATGAAAATGCCCGTTCCGAAGTAAATAAAGTAAATTAAGTAAATGACTTTAGATTCGTAATCAGCAACCCAGAATAGATACCCAGTGACATAGAAATCTACCGATTTTTTTAAATTTTCGTCCGCCATATTGGATCCGCCATTTCGAATTTTTGGTAAATGACTTTAGATATGTAATCAGCGACCCAGAAAATCCCCAGATACCCAATTTCATAGAAATCTACCGTTTTTTTTTTATTTTCGTCCGCCAGATTAGATCCGTCATTTTGAATTTTTGATAAGTGACTTCAGATTCGTAATCAGTGACCCAAAAATCCCCTAGGTAAGAAGTGGTGTAAAGATCCATCAACGAGTATTTGTGTAAATAGTTTCGTCCAGCTAGATCTGCGCTCCGAACCATTGTGCAACGTGCGGAATATTAGGTAGGCCTGTTAAACTAAAATAATAATTGTGCCAAACCATAGGTTTACGACGTCGTATTTATTATTTTATTGCAAATACATTCATTGTCAATCATTGATGGGTTCTGATTACATTCCTCTTAAATTACTGGCCCTTAAATTAACCCAAGAATGTTTTTACTCTTCACTTATTTCTTGCTAAATATGTCAAGTTTTTCTTTTGCCTGATACCCATATTGATATACATATTTCAGTAACGTTATTCCCTTAATTAATGTGAATTTAATTTTTTATACATGGGGAAAGCCTTCTAGGTGTTGTTTAGAAGTAAAGTATTTTCAAAACTATTTCCATTGATACCCATATTGTAATATCTACTTCATTTAACTTATTAAATAATTTTAATAAAATTTGTAGCATATGGCAACCCATTAAAAAAGTTAAACTTTAGTGCACATCTACAGGCCAAGCCCAAGAACCCAAATTTTCAACTTCAAACTACATTTACAGTGAAAGTATGAAAGTTATCCAAAAACAAATTGCATTTTTGAATTAAACGTCCTCAATTTTACTAAGAAGCCAATTTTATTTGGACGCACTGTGCGATTAACATATATGATCCTTTTTCCGGTAAATGGACCAGGGATCGATCTATTCCAAAAAATCGTATTTATGGTCCGATTTTTTGGTTTGACGTTTTTTATTTCCATATGGATAGTAGAGAACTACAGGAATAAAAATTTTGGAATAAAATTAAACACAGCGTGTCCCTGCTGTGTTCCAAGATTTTTTTTTTTAATTTCAAAAAATTGTAAATTTAAATGGAATGAATATAAAAAAATGTAAAAATATGTTATTTCTTATTACTTTGTTAAATAGTACGGTTTTTAGCTTTCATTTTTTGTCAGTGCCATCAGATCTGCGCGATTCGTTCTATTTTCAAAAATGAAGTGTCTGATTAAAAAGTTTTACCTGTAGACAAAGAGGTTTATTTTTTAAGAGTTGCCACCTTTAAAAAAATTAAATTCAAATTTTTTAATGAGTTAAATGAATTATTAAGAGACGGGTATCAACCGAAATGTGTATGGAAACGGGTTTATTTCTTAACTATAAATAGAGGGTTGCCACCTGTTTAGAAAGTCAAATTCCATTTGAATTGAAAGCATTAGGTAACTGAAATAGATAAGTATCACCATATGGGAGTCAGGCGAATGAGACTCAAAAAGGTTTTGGCTTGAAAATATTACGAAGAGGTTCCCACCTGTTTGTAAAGTCAAATTTAGTTAAACTAAAATAATAATTGTGCCAAACCAAAGGTTTACGACATCGTATTCACTCTGATCCTGAATTAGTTAAAAGTTCACTAAAACGTACGACAAAAATTGAAAATGCAACTTTCTTCGTTATCACCTACGTAATCAAAATCCGTTTTCACTAAACTCGTGACAGCCTTTTTTTGCGAAATATTGACATTCAAGAATTGCAAAATTATAAAAATTTCAGAACAAACGTTTGTTCTCATATTTTTTTTTTATTCGTTGGATATAATTAAGATAACAGTTATAAGTAACTTGCTGAACAGCACTTGGCTCATTAACACATAATTATTTTGCAGAGAAATCGTGAATAATGTATTTCTTGTTTTGATTTATTTTTAATAAATATTGTTAGCGTTTCAGTACGTTCTGATTTAATAAGTAACTGTGAAAGTGTGTGTAGGCAAATTGGGTTTTATTTACAAATGTTCAATACACCATGTCGTATTACCTGGGTCACGAAGAAAACAGAAAAAAGTATCTGCACCATGTGGAAGAAACATACTGTGGGTAGAAAAGAAAGTCAAATTTGTTCAACTGACTGAAAAATGCGTTGATCTCAGTGGCGCACCCAGGAATATTCTTTGGGAGGGAATTATACTTCTATAGATATATCACCAGAAAATACTGAAAATTCGCTTCAGATAATATGCTCTTAAATTACAGTTATTCAAGTTTTATGTACAGTATGTAGTAACTAAATACAAAGAACTCAAACATTTTTAACCGACTTCAAAAAAGGGGAGGTTATCATTTTTCTATTTTATATATGCTTCCGCATAACTTTGGACCACGTGAACTGATTTCTATAATTGTTTTTTTTTTTGATCGGAAAGACGACACCTCACGGCTCGTCCCGTAATTTGGTTTGGATCCGATCATTGGATCATGAAAAAATTAACGGTGCTATTAAATTTGTGTACGAGAATTGAAGTCGGATGCGTTTTTTTCTTAAAAATTAATAAATAAATAAAGTAATAAAAATTAAAAAAAAAATTATGTAAAAAAAAAGTTTTTTAAAATAACCTTTTATTTAACATATAAAATCAAAGGAATAAAGTAAAATAGTGTAACAAAATATTTTTTAGCAAGAAAATTTTTTTAAAACTGCACCCAAATGAATAAAATAAACTAAGTTAAGCTTTCGTTCGAGTTTTCCTTTCACTATTTTGCTTTTAGTAACTTTAACGAAAGCTTAACTTATTTTGTTTTTATCAGTTTAGTGCAGGTCTCAAAAATTCGACATTTCTTTTCCAACAGTATTTTTCTTCCATATGGTGCATATACTTTTTTTTCTGTTTTCTTCATGACTTAGGTAATACGACGGTGTATTGTATATTTGTAAATAAAACTCAACTTGCCTACACACACTTTTAGTCCCGGATTGTATTACACAATTACTTATTAAACCAGAACGTAGTGAAACACTAACAATATTTATTAAAAGTAGAAGATTTCTCTGCAAAAGAATTATGTGTGAACGACCCAAGGGCTGTTCATATAGTTACTTATAACCAGGGCAACCAGAACTATGCAAATGCATGTTTTTTATGTTACATGTTATGGTGAAATAGATTGAATACATATGCGATACACATAAAAATAAAGACTTAGAACTGCATTTGTTAACACATATTTTTGCATATTTTTCAATAAATACATATTTTTGCATATTTTGTGATAAATTCATATATTTGAATCTAAAAGATTTTATATAATTTTAAATTTAAGTCCAAGCAAAATAAAAATTCAAACCGACATTAATTTTTGCGCTTCCCTGCACTTGCTGAAATCTGAAAGTGAACATCTTCAGTAAGGTGTTGTCAACTGATATTTCCGTTTTTCTTCTTAGTATTTATGTACATATGGGCTCCGTCA